TCAATACTAACCCTTGGCCAGAGAATGCTTCAACAAACACAGTCATCACTATGTTGTATGTCAAGATTTTGTAAATAGGAGGTTATAGAGGAAAGCTCTACATAGAGACCTATAACATGAACTGGTTTTACCGCCTACATAACATTTTATATGCAAATTTTTGATTCAAAATTTCCCACAATGCAGCTTGAAAAGTAGCGTGCATCCATGGTCACTAGATGAGCAGCTATATCCCAGAATGCTTTGCAAAAGCTCTCCTCGCAAAGCATCATGGTATTTGTTTTCGGGGTGAGACAGAACAAAGATGTGATGGGATGCGGAGTTACACTGAGTGAAAAGCAGAGATCATCTGTCCGTCCGTTAACTAAAGTCCACTATAGGCCCCTCTCATATAGTGATTGAGGGTTGGGCATGTATTGTGTTTCCCACTAGATTTATACACAGCCTCTACTGGAAAAAAAATCTAGAAATAAGTAAACGTGTCTTAAATTAAGTGTATTTACCCTTATTTTGAGTAGGTAAATGAGGTGGTTTGCCAATGGAATGAATATTTTTACTCTTAAAATAAGATATTTAGATAAAATGCACTTGAAATAAGACAATGCAAATGCGTTTTCTTATTTTAGATGTAAATTGAATTGTTCCAATGGCAAAATGTCTCTTTTATCTCCTCAATCCAAGAACAAATGTTCTTATTTTAAGAAGAAAAAAAGGTCCATAAGGATTCTAGTCTGCTTATTTCCAACCGCATTGAAAAATAATTTCAGCTTTGACCTTTCAGTCTCCGCTTCCTATTCCACACAGGCACCAAAGTTGGTATTGATAGTATCGATCCTAGGATCGATCCGCCCACCTCTAACGTAAACATATCGCCATAATGATTGACAGTTAGGAGGACCACTTATTTAGATGATCCACCCGGATATAAGAGATCGTCCTCTATACCTTTAGCTTTGATTCTTAAAGCCCAAGTTTATATTATAATCAGAAAAATAAAAACATTCTATGCTTTGCTGTATAACAGAGCGTTTGTAATTGAACCATTAAAGCAGATTCAGGATCAGTTCGGTGACTTTTATTCAGCTCCAAACGCTTTATGAAGCTCAGCTAATTCTAAACCGCAGAATGTAGAGTCTAAAAATAAACTGCAAACACACGTTGTCACCTCTAACGCAGCTTCCTCAAAGCTGCTCCCCCCTGACCAAGCCTCCCTCTGAAGTCAGAACATGACTCAGTCAGTGTGTATCATCCCCCCCCCCCCCCCCGACACACACCCCAACCCCTCCCCCTCCACTTTCTGCCGGTATATAATCTGAACCACCTCCAGTCACAGGGAGCCGCTCAGACATCCAGAGGGAGCAAAGATCAGCGCCGGTCAGCCTCTACAGTGTTCAGGAAGATAAACAACCGAAGGAAAACAATGACGATGAGGGTCGCTCTGCAAACTCTGATAACATGTAAGTCAGCTCTATAATCAGTGCACTCACAGACCTGCTTTTCATTGATTTTGTCTGATTTCCAGTTTGTTTAATGTAAACGTTTTAAAGTCAGACTAAAAGACATCACTTATGACTAAAGTTGAGTCATAAAATGAGTTATGGAAAAATTAAGATGAAAATTAGTCCGTTCTAACAACTTTGAATTGGATGTGTAAAGTTAATGTGTAGCTAAAGAAAGATTAAATGATAACTCATATTTCCCAGGGGGATGTTAAACAGAGCAGAGTTTTTTTTTTAATGATTGATTCATCGATGAAGCAGAAACATTTGACCTAAACAAGTGGATCCTGGAAGGAACATTTGTTTCTGGCTTTTGGTATCAGGAAGTGTTTGCTACTTCATGTCACATAATTCAAACCTTTAACAGTGCATTTAAAGGATGCCGAAAAGGTCTTTTTTTCCATTTTAAGCTGTGTTCTTCTTGAATAAATAAACTGTTATTCAAGAAGATCAACCATAAGATCAAAGTTTCTGAAAGAGAAACTCTCAAAAGCGTCAGAACGGATCTGGGTTTCCACTTCCTGCACACCAAGCCCCCGTTAGCTGAAAACAGGTCTGCATGGTGTTCTGTATGCTGCAGACAGAAAGCCTCTTAGGAAATGAAGCCAGAAGACAGTGACGATGCATAACATGTAAAACCTGACTAAGGTCCCTGAGACAAACTTTATAAGGATGATTCGCTCTATTATACAGGTGCTGGTCATAAAATTAGAATATCATGAAAAAGTAGATTGATTTCAGTAATTCCATTTAAAAAGTGAAACTTGTATATTATATTCATACATTACATACAAACTCATATATTTCAGATTTTTATTTTGTTTAATTTTGATGATTACAAATGACAACAAATGAAAATCTCAAATTCATCATATCAGAAAATTAGAATATTGTGAAAAGGTTCAAAATTGATGGCCCCTGGTGCCACACTCTAATCAGCTAATTAACTCAAACCACCTGCAAAAGCCTTTAAATGGTCTTTCAGTCTAGTTCTATAGGCTACACAATCATGGGGAAGACTGCTGACTTGACAGTTGTCCAAAAGACGACCATCGACACCTTGCACAAGGAGGGCAAGACACAAAAGGTCATCGCTAAAGAGGCTGGCTGTTCACAGAGCTCAGTGTCCAAGCACATTAATAGAGAGGCGAAGGGAAGGAAAAGATGTGGTCGAAAAAAGTGTACAAGCAAGAGAGATAACCGCACCCTGGAGAGGATTGTGAAACAAAACCCATTCAAAATGTGGGGGAGATTCACAAAGAGTGGACTGCAGCTGGAGTGAGTGCTTCAAGAACCACCACACACAGACGTATGAAAGACATGGGTTTCTGCTGTCGCATTCCTTGTGTCAAGCCACTCTTGAACCACAGACAGCGTCAGAAGCGTCTTGCCTGGGCTAAAGAGAAACAGGACTGGACTGCTGGTGAGTGGTCCAAAGTCATGTTCTCTGATGAAAGTAAATTTTGCATTTCCTTTGGAAATCAAGGTCCCAGAGTCTGGAGGAAAAGAAGAGAGGCACTTCATCCACGTTGCTTGAAGTCCAGTGTAAAGTTTCCACAGTCAGTGATGGTTTGGGGTGCCATGTCATCTGCTGGTGTTGGTCCATTGTGTTTTCTGAGGTCCAGGGTCAACGCAGCCACATACCAGGAAGTTTTAGAGCACTTCATGCTTCCTGCAGCTGACCAACTTTTTGGAGATGCAGATTTCATTTTCCAACAGGACTTGGCACCTGCACACAGTGCCAAAGCTACCAGTACCTGGTTGAAGGACCATGGTATCCCTGTTCTTAATTGGCCAGCAAACTCTCCTGACCTTAACCCCATAGAAAATCTATGGGGTATTGTGAAGAAGAAGATGCAATACACCAGACCCAACAATTCAGAAGAGCTAAAAGCCACTATTAGAGCAACCTGGGCTATCATAACACCTGAGCAGTGCCACAGACTGATCGACTCCATGCCACGCCGCATTGCTGCAGTAATACAGGCCAAAGGAGGCCCAACTAAATACTGAGTGCTGTATATGCTCATACTTTTCATGTTCATACTTTTCAGTTGGCCAACATGTCTATAAATCCTTTGTTTTTATTGGTCTTCAGTAATATTCTAATTTTCTGATATGATGAATTTGAGATTTTCATTTGTTGTCATTTGTAATCATCAAAATTAAACAAAATAAACATCTGAAATATATGAGTTTGTATGTAATGTATGAATATAATATACAAGTTTCACTTTTTAAATGGAATTACTGAAATCAATCTACTTTTTCATGATATTCTAATTTTATGACCAGCACCTGTATGTCTCACTCTTTACCTTGCAGATGGCTGGTATTATTTGGTATATCTCCATCCATCTCATTTCTTAAAATCAGGGATGTAGGAAGGAAGAGTTCAGGAGAAAAACCAGTAGTTAACTTTTCCAGAGAGATTCAGACTTCATCTGTCTGTTCTTGCTTATTCTATCAGGGTTTTAGCTTCTGTCTCTGGCAGTCTTTGGGGGAGAGGCCAGGTACACGCTGGACAGGTGGTCAGTCTGTCACAGGGCAACACAGAGACACACAACTGTGAACTCTAGTTGGAAGCCAGGGTACCCAGAGAAACCCCCCACATGCACAGGTAGAACATGCAAACACCACGCAGAAAGAACCTGGGCCGGAGATCGAACCCAGAACCTTCTCGCTGCAAGGCAACATTTCTACAAATACGCCACCATGCAGCCCATTCAGACTCCTCTTTGGGAGTTCAAGATATTCCCAGGCTATAATATGAACTCACTTTTCTTAAAAGGTGTATTTTACTTGGGTAAAACCTTCTATAAAAGGAGATGTTTACTTTCTTTTAACTTTTTAGTATGTCATTCAAAGAAAATAAATGAAATCAAAGAACACTGTAGGCCAACCAGATGGTTACACAACAGAAAACATGGTTTATTTCTCAGTAACTATAACGTCTGTAAACCATTTGTGGTGAAAACTGACCAAAATTCTATTTGCACTGAATTATAGGTCTGGTGTTATCTTCATTATTTGCAACGACAGCTACAGTTACAATAACTGGATCTTCAACAACAGTGTCTGCAACTCCTTTATCCACTAAAAGTTCCTCTGCTCCAACCAGCAGTAGCCAAACGACAACTACAGTTACAACAACTGGATCTTCAACAACAGTGGCTGAAACTACTGTATCCACTAAAAGTTCCTCTGCTCCAACCAGCAGTAGCAAAACGACAACCGCTGTTACAACAACTGGATCACCAACAACAGTGGCTGAAACTACTGTATCCACTAAAAGTTCCTCTGCTCCAACCAGCAGTAGCAAAACGACAACCGCTGTTACAACAACTGGATCACCAACAACAGTGGCTGAAACTACTGTATCCACTAAAAGTTCCTCTGCTCCAACCAGCAGTAGCAAAACGACAACCGCTGTTACAACAACTGGATCACCATTAACAGTGGCTGAAACTACTGTATCCACTAAAAGTTCCTCTGCTCCAACCAGCAGTAGCCAAACGCCTAAAACCTCGATGTCTACAGAGACCACCACATCATCTGAGACTGAGATGAGCGCTACAATGTCTCCTACAACTTCATCATCACTCTCACCATCCTCCACCACCTCAGGGCCCCAGACAACGGACACAACCATCACCACCACCACACCCCTGACCACTCCACCAACTGAGAGCACCCAAACCATCCTAACATCCACTAACCTCCCCAGTCCAACCAGTGCCATCACCGTGACCTCTGACCAAACGACGACACCTGCGAGCGACACCACGACCGTCTCTACCTCCACAGCTGGTTCCCCAGCCAATAGCGCATCCTCACAACCAGCTAGCTCAACTGGAGCTCCGACCACCACACCTTACAGTTCCTCTACTGCCAGGCTGACGTCGCCCAAGGCCCCAGCTAGCAGCCCCACATCCGAAGGGGGGGAACAGAAACCGAAGCCTCTCAGCTCAGGTATGCGATTGATTCATGTGTTTTCATTATTTATTAAGGAAGGCAGCCATGAGGTACCGTAGCCTTAGTGATCAGTTTCAGTCTTGGAAGACCAAGATCCGTCTTTTAAGCCAAGTTCATAGATTTTTATCAAACTTGAGGTAAGAGCCTTAGGAAGGTCAGTCCAGAGGCTTAATTTTGTGCCTGTTGATCCATTTCAGACCCGTTAGATGCGAGTTAGGAGGCGAGGAAGTTTTAACATCCACTTCAGGCACTAGTCTTATTACTTTTAGATCCAGTTAGTGTAAAACACTGACACCACTGGCAGAAAAACAAACCCCACAACATGATAACACCAACACCATGCCTTACAGTGTTCTTAGGCTTAAAGGGTCCCATTGATTCCTTTAAACATGTATTTTTGACTTGTGACCAGATGATCAATCTATCTGGTCTGAAAATAAACCTTCAGTCCAGGCGGAGGTTGTGTCATTGTGAATTTGAATAGGAACAAAATAAAGGGAAAATTAAACAAACATTTCATGAAGAACTCAGAATTATCATACACTGGAAAAACAATCTAGAAACAAGTAAAAATGTCTTAAATTAGGTGTATTTACCTTTAATTTGAGTAGGCAAATGAGATGATTTGCCAATGGAATGAGTATTTTTACTCTTTAAATAAGATATTTGGATAAAATGCACTTGAAATAAGACAATGCAATTGTGCTTTCTTATTTTGAATGTAAATTGTCTTGTCCCATTGGCAAAATGTCTCCTTTAACCTTCTCAATTCAAGAACAAATGCACTTATTTTAAGAAAAAAATGACTGATCTAGATTTTGATTTTTTCCAGTGTACGATGATAAAATGCCAACATTTTAAGAAAAATGTATTTACTTTTGCCTTTTTCTATGTTCACCCAATCTTCTCTGTGGAAAACTAAACCATAAAACCTCTCTGTTGCCATGGGAAACCAGAGTTTAGATTCAGGACTGGTTTAAATCCTTTGCAGTTAGAAACCTGGAGACGACCTGGAATAGTCTCAAAGAGATTTGAAAATTGGTTTTGAAATAGACAGCAGCCAAACATAAAGCTTCTAGAATAGTCTTTCCGTTTGCTTTCCCTCAGTCTTAAATCAAACACGTTTAACTCAGGTTTAAGTGAAAATTCATGCCTTGTTTGTTGTTTGGGGAAGAAAAAAGCCAAAAATATGTGAAAAGTTGAAGAAATTTAAACGCTCCACTTTATACTGACTCTCAAATAACATGAACAACATATTCCAACCAATATGCTCCAAACCAATGGACTTTCATCTTAATAAACAAAAGCGTCACCCATTAAATCCTAAATACGCCTCATGAAGGTAATAATCACATAAAGACTAACTGATCACCTTTTACAGGTGAAAGCCAGCTGAGTTCTGCAGTGTCCCTCTGCTCTGACCTTGTTAAGGAAAAGTTCATGCTGTGGTTAATATGTGAGCCAGTTTCTTCTCACACTTCCTTTATGAGATTTATGCACAAACAAGAGAAAAAGAAACAAGTCCTTTTGATAACTGCTCCTTCTCCCCGTTTGGTTAATCCGGCTTCAGAAAGTCACGGTTTTAAACTGAAACCCCTGCAAGGCCGGTGTTTTAAAACCGATAGACCTTTACTGAATTCCCCTAAATAAAATGGTTAAACTACCTCACTAGCATGCAGACTGCAGAAAGGAAGTAAAATCCCCTTTAAATGATTTTATTGGCACATCATTTGAATAGGTAAATAAAGGAACTTTCAAATACAATATGGTTTAACAGTTAAAAGAAAAAAGGTTCATTATCTTATGTTTATTTGCCCTAATTTCGGGAGGATGATAAATGATTTGCCAACGGAATGAGTTTGCCCTTAAAATGAGATAAGTTAGATATTATGCATTTAAAATAGGATGATAAAGTTGCTTTTTGCTTTTTTTAAACATGAATCGTTTAAGTTAATTGAAATACACTGGAAAAAAAATCTAGAATTAAGTAAAAAATAAATGTCAATTAAGTGTCTATCCTTAATGTGAGTAGATTAATGAGATAATTTGTAAATGGAATTAATATTTTTACCCTTAAAATAAGATAATTAGATAAAATGCACTTAAAATAAGAGAATGCAATTGTGTTTTCTTATTTTAAATGTAAATTGTTTTGTTCCATCAGCAAAATGTCTCTTTTACCTCCTCAATCCATATATTTTATAGGGTATATACATATATTTCAAGAAAGTTTGGATTATTTTCAGATAAAGTTTTGTACATCTCTGCTAATATTGGAGTCAATTGTGTTGCAGCAGATATAGATCTAGAATTTGCAGAACACTTGGTGTTCTGGAGTTTAATACCACTCAATGCTGTGGAGCTGGAAATGCAAACGACTGGAACTAATGTCTGTACAGGTTTTAAGTTTTCTGAAACTGAAATAAATCTTTCGGACGTTTACTGCAAGGTATTTTCCTCTGCTGTTATTTTATTTGCTGTTTATTTCATCATGCTGCTTGTTATGGAAACTATAAGCCCACAAAACATCCAGGTATCGGCCCACCCAGTGTTTATTTCCTGTTAGCGGGAACTGAACCTCCTTCCCATCATGGCTGACGTTCCAGCCCTGTACGAGAAATATAACTCAGATCTTTTACGGTTTCTTGCCTCACTGTACTTTGCTATTTTTATGAGTAGCCGCACTGTAAAATCTCCAGATAGGTGTATTTCCCTTAATTAGAGCAGGTAAATTATAGAATTTATTAATAGAATAAGATAATTCACCTATAGACCAAAAAAAAAGAAAATAACTCTATTATCTTACTTCCAGTGCATAATATCTAATTGTCTTATTTTTATGACAAAAAATACAAATTTCATTTATATCATCTGATTTACCTGCCCACATTAGGGGTAAATAGACTCATTTTAGGACAATTTTACTTTTTTAAATTCATTTTTTGCAGTAATTAAGCTTTGGTTTGTTTCTTTGCATGATTTCAAATATTCAGTTTGGGATCAATTAAGGATCAAACTAAAAAATAAAAATAAAATAAAGAAAATCCTGCTTTTTGCAGAAGCCAATCAATAATCTGAGCTGGGATTATTATCTGGAGGTAAATTTGGAACTAGGATTTCAGAATTTCACTTCACTTCACTTCACTGAAAGGAAAATAGTAAATGATCCTTCTGTTCTGCAGTATGTACATCATAAAAAAACAAAACATTATCTTAGTTTTACGTCTTTTTTGATGTTAAACGTATTAATGAGTATAAACTGAAACTAAAACTAGAATCTTTAAAGTGAACGAAGAGTATTACCAGGATAAAGGGGGATTCATAAAGCAGAATCAGGGGATGCGTAGAATTCAAGGAGTCAAACAGAGATTGGATCCGACATCAAAAGTTTACAAAAACAGAATTATGAGAAAGATGAGTGAAAGGAAAAGTGTTCCATGCATCTTTGGATCGATGTCATGAAGCAGATATCTTCATGTGTTACCAGCCTTTAGGAACAGAAATTTATTGCAGAATCTGTATTTATTCACTAAATGAAGAAGGACTAAAGCTGAAATGAGTTAATGTGACAACAGAGCAGCAGTTAATCAACTCTAAAGCATCCGCTTTTTGTCAACATAATGCATTTTAGTTTTTTAATTTCCTTCCCTTAATATGGATTGAGTTTTTTTTCCATTCTAGTTCCAGGCAAAGAAACCTACGGAGCCCCTAAAGGGACATGGAGGGGAAAAAAATAACTTTTGCGGGATCTCGCAGAAGTTTATTTTTTTGCGAGATCTCGCAATACTTTTGCGAGATCTCGCAAAAGTATTGCGGGATCTCGCAAAAGTTTATTTTTTCCCTCCTTGTCCCTTTAGGGGCTCCGTAGAGACTAAATAAGTTAAACTTAAAAGAGTTTTGGGAGTTACCTGTTTGTTATTTCTTTTCATATGAATTCATATGAAAAGTTTGAAGAGTTGCTTTTTTTTGACACATTCTCTCCACTCCTGGGGGCGGAGTTTCCCCTGGAGGATGGAGTGAAAACACGTTTCTATTGGTCTGCTTATATTGGGCTTGAAGTGAAGAGAGTTTGAAAAGAATGCAACTTTTAAAACTCAATATAAAAAGGTGAAGAAAATAAAATTTGAAAACATAGACCCTGTAAAAAAAAAACGTTTAAAGAAATAAAATATGAAATAATCAAATAAAAAGAATTTACATAAAAAAATTATTTCATTTATTTAGTAACTTTTAACAACATGTAATAAAACAGCTAAATTACTCTCCAAATCTTTTTTTTCCTAGAAATTTAGCTTCTGTAAATTTTCTGGAAACATTTTTCCTGTTCCCATTTACAAAATTATTATTATTATTTTGCTTACAATAACAATAATGCAACTTAATTCACTCCATACAAATTTTCCAGATTTTGTTCTTATGATTCTTTTTGTATTTTAATCTCTTTATTTGGTTATCTTTGCAGACTTTGTCACAGACTTCATGTGTTTGAGTTTTTAGTCTCTTTTTAGACTTTTTATCTTGAGTATTTCTCCGCTGTGAGGTTCATCCGGTCGTTCTATCCTGCTAGATGTTTTTTTTCTTATTGATTTAAACTTATTTTTCTTTGTGCTTTAAGATTTCTCTGTTATTTCCATTCCAGTGTTTTTTCTTTCCCATTTATTCTGCTAGCTACTCCCGAACTCATCTGATACTCTACCTTCGTTCTGCCCCAGCTGTTCCACATCACCCCATCAGTTTGTCATTTCTCTGCCCGGTGTTATGTCAGATGAGCGTACCCGGTCAGACCAGCATCCCCATAGTCAATACCAGTTCATCCCTTTAGTTTTGTACGAAAAATGGACTTTAAACTACCTCGACGTGCAAATAAACTATTTCATTGCTTAGTTTTTTTTAAGCGTATAGGGATACACGCCTGTAGAGGTAGTTTAAAGTCAATTTTTCGTACGAATGCCATTTATTCCATTGTAATTCCACAGCATGTGGCTCATGGTTTCCTATCTCCAACCTCAAAGATCACGGTCGATTAAGGGAAATAAAAAGAGGTTATTTTCAGATGGAGAACTACTGTTGCTTCACTGAATGTTTGTTCTATGATTCAGACAAGGAGCTTTCATTTCAATGTAAAAGTCAAAGAACCCTCAGCAGATTATCTGAAGTTCATAGTGCGCTGATAAGAGGGGTTAGAAAGTTGAACCTTAAAGCTGAGACACCGTTATTTACAGATTGTAAATCAGCTGACAACCCATTTTTATTAATAATACTTTTACAGACAAACCAGTCAACAGATATAAGGACGGGATTTTCGAAACTCTGATCTAAACTGATCAATAGTCCTCTTTAAATAAGCTCAATAAGGTAGTACTGGAAACACGATCTATAAATAAGTAAAAATCTCCTAAATTAAGTGTATTTACCCTTAATTTCAGTAGGTAAATGAGATGGTTTGCCAATGGAATAAGTATTTTTACTCTTAAAATAAGATAATTAGATAACATGCACTCAAAATAAGACAATACAATTGTGTTTTCTTATTTTAAGTGTAAATTGTCTTGTTCCATTGGCAAAATGTCTCTTTTACCTCCTCAATCCAAGAACAAATGCACTTACTTTAAGAAAAAATTACTTATCTAGATTTCGATTTTTTCCAGTGGGGAAAAAATCCAGTAGGAACTCCTTTAGAACATCTGGAGATGATTTCACAAAGAAGAATTCTTCGTAAAGCGAAGAACATTACATACAGTGAGCATCCTCTTCAAGAAGATTATTGAACAACATCAGAGTGTCTTCACTCTGAATTTTCTTCCAATACAAGTCAGACCTCTACAGAAGATCCTTCATCAAACCTTGCGTTATTACAACCTTTCAATTCCCTTCAGGGTCCTTTAATTGTTTCTGAAATGAGCATGAAAATATTTAAAAATAAACCCAAACTAGAATCACTGACGCTAATCTACCAACATCTCTGCACATGGATCCTCTTTTTAAATGTGTGCTTCCTCTAAATGTGTAAATGATCAGCGAAAATTAAGGATATGAAAACTGTTTTCTCCTCTTCATTGAAATATTTTTTTCAAATTTAAAAACAGAGCAAAATGGATAGTTTTGGTCAGTCATCATTGATTGATTGATCCTATAATGAGTTTATTTTCTAACTGTAGGAGAAACAAACTGAATTGTCTTGTCGTCTCTCTCTTCTATCGTCTTCAGGAAGTGTTGCAGTTATTGTCTGCATGTTCCTCCTGCTGGTCGTCCTGGTACTGGGAGGATTGTACCACTACAAGTTTAGGTGAGTCCTGAGTAAATCATAACATTGCTTTAAACAAAATGATTATGTGTAAAGACCAATCTCTCTCTCTGTGTTCTCCTTTACAGACGGACGTCATACGGCCCTCTCATGGAAAGCTTCGACCACGGCAGCATAGGAAACTTCCCCAACCCGATGTATGACCCTTGATGTTTTGGATCTCTTATCTCAGGAGAATGAAGAGTCTCTGCAGACTGTATCGATCTGCACAGAGAGTTGTAGCAGTATGTGACTGTGGACGTATGTTTCAGTTATGGAACCTGTCATGAACACTGGTTAAGTGGCCTATTTCCGTGTTTTTCTGGTTTTTAGGTGTTTTCCACTGAAAGATGAAGTAAAAATAGTGACCTTCACGCGCAGGATGCTCTGATGCACAGAGAAACGGCCAGGAAAGGCCAATACAGAAAACTTAGTTGGGCCTTTTAACTGACAGAATGTGAAGCAGAAATGATAATCCTGGGAAGTGTGTCAGATTTTCTTATATTGTCTGGGTCTATATGGTATTCTTCAGGTAACATGAAGCAAAACTGTGAGATAATATGATTATACGTCAAAATGAACAGTAAATTAGCTTTGTAGGAAGTTTTGGTGGAATTAAAAGAGCCAGGAGTAACCAGAAAGTCAAATGAGTGAAAATAAATGCATTTTAAGGAAGGATTTTCATTCAAAGACTTTTCTTTTCAATATTTGTGTTTATTGATCAGGAAAAAAAACGATTAAATATGAATATTTAAAAAAAATGAGTATTACATAGTATACAAATAAATCGTTATTTTAATAACTTCACTGAAAACCTTCAGTTTGCTGTAGATCAGTGAATGACTTTAATTTCCCTTTGCTCTGAAAGCAGGGCAAAGTTTGGATTGTAGTTTTAAACTAAGGATACTGTTCGTTTGTGTGAAAAATGATACGTTTGAATCCTTTGCTGTTTCTTTCCAGTTTGAAATTTAATTGTTTAAGTAAAAATACAGATGAAAAAAAAAAAACAGTGATGCATTGATGAAGTTAATTTTGGAGAAATTATTTGTAGCTCTAAGTTCTTTACTTGGTACAGTTTTTTTTCTTTTGTCATACAGGAATCCTGAGTGTCAATATACATGTCAGAAAACAGTGTGGTCAGCTAAATAAGTTAATAAAGAATTAAATGAGACCGTTTTTAAATTATTAAATAAATATTTTATTTGTTGTTTCTTTGTTAGATTAAGCATGTAACTCATAAAATACTGTTTGAAATTGGAAACCAAATAAAAAAATACAAACAAACAAGTTGATTGCCAATTAGCATTAGCATTTGCTAGTCGTCTGGCTACATTGCAGTGGTATGGGGTCGTTTTAAGTGATTTATTGTTGGTCCACGGAGGCTCTTCCGCTCTGTCCTACTTTTGTCTTCTCTTTTTTAGGGGCTTCTTTTATTCAGGACCTGGAAAAGAATGTCTGACTCTGAATTAAGCTATTTCAATCTGAAAAACTCACAAGAAGAGAAAAGACAGAAGAAATTTATTGATAGAATTACTTTGTCTTTGGTGCTGAGACTTCGGCAGGAAACGTAGCACTGAATGTTGATAGATATGCATGAACAGGAGCAAAGAACAGGGCTGTTTCCCCCCCAGGCCTGAAACTGGTGGTGGAGATAGATGAAGTTGGTCAGTCTGTAGACTGCTGGTTAGTGAGACGGTCTGTTGAGCTTTATAGGGAGATCCAGTGGACTGCGTGAGCTGATACTAGAGCTTCACTCAGGGACCTGGAAGATGGAAGACCAGCTTGGATAACACAGGTTGAGAGAACCTGTCCATGATTAGCAAGCATGGAGTGACAGTGGAGAGGAAAAACTCCCCATTGGGAAGAAACCTCTGGCAGAACCAGGCTCAACATGGCGGTCTGCAGCTTGACCGGTTAAGATGAGACTGGGAACGCAGTAAGAGTCCGGGAGGAATGACACTGATAAAGCTTTAGCTACGATGGTGGAGGAGGGGCTGGAGGTGGGTTGAAACGGGTCACCGAAATGAAGACAGACAGCGCAACCACCGCCTGCGCACAGGAGCAGACAAGTTCCGGATCGGAGGCCTTTCAAGATGAACTTTGGACGGCTTTCCTGAGCTGTGGTTCAAAGCTGATTGGCTGTGTCACAGGTGGATGTAGGAGAGCAATCAGTTTCTTCATTTGTACTTCCGCTTAGGATCCCTTACGAAATCAAAATGAAGTTTTCATTCTGGTCTAAAGGTTTGGACTCAAACCGAGGGTGTCATAGTTAGTTATTAAATCAAACTTAGGAACAATTAATTAGGTTTAGGAGTGATTAACTTACAAGACCATGTCTGTTTGTATTGTATGTTAATAAATACATATATTTCAAAAGTTTTTTTTGATCTTATCTTTGTTATGAAAGAGCAAAACAGAAAGAATCTGTAAGGCAGTAATTCATTTTTTATATTCACTGGAAAAATCGAAATCTAGATAAGTCAATTTTTCTTAAATTAAGTACATTTGTTCTTGAATTTAGGGGGTAAGAGAGACACGTTGCCAATGGATCAAGACAATTTACATTTAAAATAAGAAAAAACTATTGCATTGCCTTATTTCAAGTGCATATTATCTAAATATCTTGTTTTAAGAGTAAAAATGCTAATTCCTTTGGCAGATCATCTTATTTACCTACTCAAATTAAGGGTAAATACACTTAATTTAAGACATTTTACTTATTTCTAGATTGTTTTTGGAGTGTTGATGTAATCGCAGGCGTAACCTTCTGAAGGAATGGACATGTCCCCACCATAATTATCTACCTAGATAAACACAAATACA